GGAAAATACCCGAACAAAGCTGAATACCATAGATATATAGATATATATATACACACACACATATTACTGATATATAAAAATAGAAGCAAAAACACTTGAAATATACCAATATCGTAAGAAAACAAAGGAATCAGATTTATTATTTTCCTGGAAGTAAATACGCTACCGTTAATTTCATCTGAATAGAAAAATCAGACAGAATTGATTTTTAAAGATTTTAAATCTTATCTGTATGGATTTGCACTTATATACAAAATCCCTACGAATATGGATTTTAAAGTTCTCTGTTTATCATACAAACATAGATTTATAAAGAATTTAGTGAGCTATAGTTGAAAATTAAATAACCCAAGTATATTGGTGTTAAAACATTCATTTCCTGTATTCCTTTTTTACCTACTCGGGAAACCTTAAGAAAATATTTTTTTCCAACACCACAAACAATACTCTTGGATGCCCTAGAAATTCTGTCCAGCTCCTCCTGAAAAGGTCCCTGTAGCAAATATTCCTCTAAATTCTCTTACTATATATTTGGGGCATATATATAGCCTTCAGACCAAATGACAGAGGCCATTTTCAAAAGATAGGTATTACTAGGACAAAAATAGCCAAATATAAATTAACTGTAATTAATAAGATTATTCCTTAGGAACTTTTTTTCTCCTGTGTCATATTAAAAATTATAATTCAGTGGCAATTTCCAAACTAATTCTGGGGGATACATCCAAGACTTTCAGAGTTTTGTATGCAGCTCCTAGCCCTCAGGTTGTACACTCTTACTTCACTTACTTCTTTGTGTACGATGTTGTATAGAGACTTAGGACATTTAAATAAGAACATATAGTAGAAAAATATTCTATAAAATTATAAAATTGATATTTAAGATGCTATTTTTTTTTCTTTTTCCTTCATAGTTTTATTTTTAATGCTGGATATAGCTTATTGTACTAACTCTGCTTATGTATGTTTAAAAAGTCCTTAACCATTCATATAAACATAAAATAAGACGGTGATCTCTGTACATAGTTGCAACCTACAGCATTGTTTGCTTCCATATGTAGAAACTACATCAGCTTAGTCTTTCTTGATCCTTAGCCAGAAGGCTAGTTCCAGGCCACAACTACAGAGAGACTGACACTTCAGCAATCCCTTTCCCCATGTTTTCCCTTTTATTTCTGCACTACACAGATTGATTGATTGATTGACAAAATCAGAAAGAAGCCAATCCAGTCATTATTCAGAATAACAGAGTTGGAAGCAACCTTCTAATCCAATCTCCTATTCAAGCAGGAAATCCTTTAGCATATCAAACAAATTGATTGTCCAATCTCTTCTTAAAGGTTTTTTTCTTGTTCTAAGAATTCCCAGTTTAGAAAACTGAACACATATTTATGCCAGGATTCATTTTTCTCTCCTATCTTTACTGCGTATATTAAGATAAATCTGATTTATAATATAAATGTCAAATGTGGAAAAATGTAATAATCCACAAAGATTTAGAAGTTTGCATATGATCTTCTCAGTAACACTGATTAAAACCTGTTTTACAGAAGTAAATATACATGATATTAAGCTAGCCTATTTTCAGAAATTACTATTAACATCAAAGGTATCCAACCCATGGTTCTGGATAGCTAGCCATGTGAACCCATAAGATAATAAAAAATATAAAAATAAGGGAAGTTTGTTATTTATATTTATTAACTACATTATATACAGTATTACATATGTAGCCCAGGACAATTCTTCTTCATTCAATGAAGCCAAGGGCAAATCAAAAAAATTGACAACCACGATCTACAATATGATTTCCTAATGTTGACAAAATTAATTCAACAAGAGTAGTAATAATAATTTTCTTACTGGAGGCATTTTCAGCATAAATAATCCTATTAAATAAATTTGTTAGCAAAGGCAAACACAATGAGGCTCATGATATCTTAATTTCTGTCACACAAGATTACATTTTATTTTATTCTGAAAGTCTCACCTCATCTGAAGTGTCACCTTGCCCTGAAGTTGGTGTAGAACCTGCAAAACCTTGTGAAATTAAAAATTAAAATATTCATACAAAACTGGAAAAATATTTTAAAAACAAACCTACAGTTCTTCTTCCATACAAACCTACATTAATTCTTTAGAAATTGAAATTAAAATCTAGCTAGAAAATGCTAAATCTTTAAGTGATACTCGTGATTTGTTACTATCTCTATAATGGAACACAAATGTTACTACTCTTGAAATGTCATCTTAACACAATAACTATTTGTAATCCAAAATGCTGTATTTTCTAAACTTATTGGAAAGGGGTCCTAATATTTCCCATAATTTAAACTGGCATTTAAGAATGAAGATATTGCCCAATTTTGAAAATTGAATAAGGATTCTGTCACACTTTTTCCCCCTACATTTGTGCTGTTTCAGGAAAGTTTCATAAGCCACTTTAGAAGTTCTATATGTTAACATATCAAAGATGGGAATTCTAGTTACAATTAAAAGTATTTTTTACACAAACCTTGAACTACTGAAGCACTAGCTCCAGCTCCTTGGTCCTGCATTCCACCTGCAAGCTTATCTTCAGCAAATGTCAGTCCAGAACCTTTCAAAGCTATAAGATATTTTTCATGGCTTTTCTTTGAACATGTATTTTCTCCACCACCTTAAATATATTTCAAAGATACAAGTTCACTCCAAGGATCCATCTTTACAGGATGGTACAGGCTAAAAAAAACCCTGGCTAACAGACATTATAATAAGTGGTCCATAAGTACTTTACATAAATTATGGGATGGGCTTGGTGCATATACCTTCAAATAATGCTTTCCATTCATAAATATTTTATTTTTCAGCATTCAGACTACAATGCTTACTTAGAAAATTTGATTCCTCTTTAGATAGCACATTCAGCCACAGTGAGTCAAGACTTCTCTGACATGTAAATACACCAGAACTAAAAATAAGCCAGACTACAGCCCATCCATCCTTTTATTATGACTTTTCAAATTAATTATCAAAGGTTGAACATTTCTGCATGATACCATTCCAATATGGGGACTATAAACTTGGCTCTTGAAATTAAGACCAATATGCCAGCTCTGGTGATAATTTCACCAGTGCAAATTCTATTGAATTGTTTAATTTGGTTTTGGGAATGGAATACTGTTTTCTTTTTCAACCCTAGAATGCTGTTAAAGAACATTCTTATAATCAGGAAAGACTTTATATAAATTATATAAAAGGTAATAAGAGGAAATTCTGACCAAACTTGCAAAATACTGAAATTCTGCTGTCATGATGGACTCTAACAATAGCCCTTTTAAATATATATAATCTGAATTGTCACCTTTAGCTGACATATATGCAAAAATATCAAATTGCTTTCATGCAATCTGTCACTTGCTGCTCAACTGAATAAATAATGAATTGCCTTTGGGGGGTATTGTTGATTCTGTATTTTCATCTCTTCATATGTACTTGTCATGTTCTTAAACTCGCTAGCTGCATTCTCACATTGCACTAAGGCATGGTTTGATTATCCTTTCTTGAATAAACTACAATAGATTAGTTTACACACCATTGTCCACGCTTTAACAGTCACAATGTGTGGGTCATTGACACTCTTAAGCCAAAACAAAGAACACTATGGCTTAGTGCAATGTGTGAAACTAGATCACTACTTTTACTTCCATCTTCATGGACATTTAAACCTGAACTTATTAGTTTGAGCAGAAGGAAGAACAATATAGTTTTATAGGGGAATAAATATATAGAATGTATTCTCTATTTAAGAATTGGTAGAAGGTTGCCTACAAAACTTTTTAAGAACCAGTTTCTAAAATATATAAACTATATTAGCAACATAAACCAAATCCTAAAAGCAACTCATATATATAACATTTTTCAACAATTAAAATAGCAAAAACTGACTTCAGTAAGGCTTACAAAAGATCAATAGAATGTGCAGTTCATAGCAAAGTAAAGCCTGCTTCTCTTTTAGCAGATACCCTGATCCTAAAGCATAAAAACAAGTTTAATGGTGAATGCTTCTTCAAGCAAAATAAAACAACTTACCAGAACTAAGACTTTTATAGTACTGCTGATTGGTCAAAACCTGAGTAAGGACTGAACGCATTGCTCCTCCCATTTTTGTCAGATCTTCCAGAAATGAAATGTGGGGTTCCAACATCTGAAGAACTTTGTGCAGTTCTTTTTCTGATGGCAATTCAAGAACTGAAAGAAGCCAACAAGAATTTTACACAAATTTGGGTAAATGGTTTTAATTGCTTAGTAACTACTGGCTGGCTTATTATTTTGCCAAATAGAACACACCATTCTTACAACCATAACTTTAAATTGTACATGCATCACATAACATAATTAACAATTCTAAGCATAAACTTGATGATCAAGAATTTCCTCAATAGAAATCTCTTACTACAGAAAGGCTCGTAGGTCTTCAGCCTAATGAGATGTTCATTTTAGATATATATTTAATGTTCAAATGTTTCTTTTTTGGGTAACCAGTATAAGATCACAGTTCCTCTTAGCAAAGCATACACAATCTGAGTTGGTAACCACAGTCACTACTATCAGTTTTCTGAATATTAGTACAGATGCTGCTGTCTTTTTTACCATTTGTATGCTTCAGCGAATCAGTTTCTATTGGGGCATACAAGGCTGAGGCAACAAGTGAACTTTCAAAGCAAAGGAGGCAAGGCTGTGATGAGCAGGTTCTCACCAACTGTTTAGCAAGCATAGGGAAGCAGAGCCAAAGTGGTAAAACAGCTCTTGCCAGTGGACTGTTGGTATGCATAGGGAGGTAGGAATAAAATGGCAACTGGATTCCAGCCTGGGAATGTGCAACGACCAGTATGTCCCTGATGAAATTGAACCATAATGTCTTTATATGACTAGAACTGGTGACTTCACTCCAAGTGGTTTTGGATAACAGAAATTATTTTGAGGTAGGAAAATCTGGATTCCTACTTAGTTTGGGGACAGAATTAATTTTGCTCATCTTGTCGACATCTGATATTAAGGAATAGACAAGCAATATGATCTAGTTCTAGTTACTAGTTCCTTGTATCTCAGTGGTTTTCCAACATTCACCACTTATATCCTTCTTGTTTCAGTCCTTTCTGAAAAGGCAAAGGCAAAAAATTGATATTGAAATTTATCCTCTATTCCCGTGATAGCGAATCTAGAGCCATTTGTGCTGGCACGCGAGCTGCAGGCAAATATACCTCACTGCGCATGCGCATGCCTCACAGCTGATTTTGGGGGGGGGGGG